TTTTATAAATGCAATATATATCGGGACTTTGAGCTCTTTGTTTGGGCTAACACTCCAATGAGTTGCAGGGTGTGTGCTCTATTGTTAGAAGTCCCATCCTTCAGATGAGATGTTAAACTGAGGCCCCATCTGCCAGGTGAACATTAAAAATCCCATGTCGCTATTTGAAAAGGGAAGGGAGTTTCTCCCGATGTCGTGAACAAATAAAATTGCTAATTTGCTTCACAGCTGTTCATGAAACATTGCAAAATGTTTGACTGCCTTGTTCACCTATAAATACACAGTGACAACACTTCACAACAAATCCTGTGAGGCACTGATGGCAAAAGGCGCTATATCAAATGCAAAGATGATGATAGATAATAAAATCACAGAATGAACTCAAAATGTGTTGACCAACAGCAATCTACCACATGATTTGTGCTGATATTTTATTGGAAAACAACACAGATCCTATCACCCAGCTAATAACAAGCTTCTGTGTATTACCCCAGATATTCTGAACAGTTGTTCAATTATTCTTAATTTGTACTTCACAGTCGCTGGTTGACACAAGGTTTTGCAGACACCCAGCAGATTTTGTTTATGGCACGACTCCACTACTATATTTTCACAAATCAGAAGGTTTTTGAAAAAAAAAGATAAAACTTGAATTCCAAACAGTATGTGGGACATTACTCAGTCATTATCAGGAGAGCTCAGATATCAATCATTTAATGTATTATTTTTGTGTATAAATGATAAATAGAAACTAATCGTTATTTAAAGTAGTCATTATAATAATAATAATCTCACATTTGAAAAAGTGCACAATCAGGTCAATGAAATTTTTCAAAGGACTTTGCAGGAGGTAGTGACTGTGTATTTATGGACAAATGTGGCAGTTCATTAGTAAAACATCCCACACACAGTCATGCAGCATAACTATCATTTTTGTTAGGTTTATTTTGTTTTACCATCTAATATACATCATCTCTGCCCCCATTCTCTGGAACTCCATCCCGGAATCCCTTCAACTCACCCCTTCAAGGGCTGTCTCAAGACCTTCCTCTTTGACCATGCTTTCTGCCATCTCCCCACCACCCCACAACTCGGGTGCAAACCCTGGACTGCTTAGTGCCTCTCAGGACATCCTCCAGACAAGGAAGGCAATGTAAGTTTGTACTGTATTTCAGTTCACCTATATGGGTGCTATATAAGCGCAAGTTATTATATTTGGAGCAATGACAATTCCCATTCACATTAATGGATCTCCCACTGCACTCACACCTACACATTATGGGTCCCCTATAAATATACAATCAATTCACTTTACAATATATTCTAATGAAGTGCTTTGGGACGTCTCAAAGACGCAATAAGGTGCTATATCAAATGCAAGGATATTTATTCTTCTCCTCCTCATCGACAGGCTGAATTTTTTTCCAGCCTGGTTTAGTGCAATCTAGTTTTTTGGGTGTGTACATTTCAGCTTATTTTAACCCGAATCTTTTTCAAAAAAAAATAACAGGGTTAAAAGCAATTGTGTAAACGCACTAAATTAGATTTCATCTCAGCTGTTACGAGCAGAGTCAGCTGTAAGCAAATAGCAGTTGCCGTGCAAGCTCTAAGGGATAGAATCGTACGATGCATCATCATTTGGAATCTTCTAGCTATGTGTTTCAGCGCATTGGTATATAACAATGAGATCTCTCTTATAGCAGAACACATCTCGGAGTGCAAACTCAAGCTATCGGTTTTCCTCCCCCTCCCTCCTCCTCCTCCTCTCTGTTTCTATGTCACAGAAATTACAATGCAGAAGGTCGTTTGGCCCATCGAGCCTCTGCTGGTGCCAGCTCCTATATTGGAACTGCATACTCTAATCCCAATTCCCCATTCATTCCTCACATCGTTTCAAATAGCTTCTCTTCAAATACACTTGCAATTCCCTTTTCAATGCTGTTATGGTCAGTAGCATTTTGAGACAACAACATGCAAATTATATTTGTGTAGTAACTTTCACTTCGGGAGGACATCCCAAGGCGCTATATTTGGACCTTAGCTGGGGGTTGGGATCAGGAGGGATGGAGAGCAGGGACAGTAGGGGTATGAGGATGACCAAAGGTGTAGTTGAAGGGAAGGATTTTGAGACACGCCTTGAAGTAGGTAAAGGAGGGAGCGAGGTGAAGGGACTGTGGGACGGAGGTCCAAAGGGTGTGGGCAGAGAGGCTAAAGGCCCGTCCGCAGACGGTGGAGCAGCCTGAACGCGCTGAGCGGATGGAGCAGGCGGATCGACATGGAGACATCCTCCCAACGTGAAAGTTGATAAATGTAAATTGTATTGTTTAACAGGATCTTGCAAGAAAGTACTCCATGCTCCAATAATCCTTGGCACGTTAAAACAAAAAAAAACTTTCCTTATTCTTCCAATCCTTAAAAACACCAATTCACCAACCAACAAGTATAATCTCGCTTGCTTTATCCCCACCTGACACAACAACTCTGGATGGTAAAAAACAACAAAAAAAATCTTGGAGAATTTGTGAAATCATAAAATGTGACAGGACAAAACGATCCATTTGCCCAATCAAGTCTACCCTGGTGTTTTTTTTTCTCAGTTTAGTTTAATACCATTTTCTTTACTTGGGCCCCACATGTCCATTAATATTATTTTTCCAAGCATCCAGATAAAATTTATCATTCCCTTCATGGCTGTTGGTGGGTGTACACACCCACAATTGCTATGCATCTGTTGGCTGTCAAATCAAACTTCAAATAATAATGTGTGTGTATCACGGCCTTCACGTCAAGAGGACATCTCAATGGGCTTCATGGGATACATTGCAAAGTGTAGTGACTATTCTGCAGCCACTGTGTATTTTTGTAGTATAATCACTACACTTTACAGTAAATCTTGAGTAGCACTTTGAGACGTTGACCACATGATAAGGCCTTTTATCAAACCAGGATTTTATTACTATTTCAAAATGCAGTCAATTCACTTCACAGTAAATTCTGTGAAGCACTTGGAGAAGCCTCAGTGATGTGATATAAAGCGCAAGGGTTATTATTTAAATGTTTTTAAAATGAATGCGAGCAGTTTCTCCAGAATAAGACAACATTACTCTGTTGATGGTTGGGGCCAAGGCATTGAAGTCGATTAACAAACAGCTTGATGCTGTGATGGGAAGATTGCAGGGTGGGTGTTCTTGAGGGATGAGATCAAATAGGCCAAAGGGTTTCTTCATTTGATAATCTCTCCGCGATCTTGTGATTAAATGCAACACCCACAGCAACAGACAAAAAAGATTTTTACAAACGACATAAGCCAACCACTCCCAACCCATGATCAGCAAGAGATGCAAAGACCAGTAAATAAAAGGAAAGGAATTTTAATAATACTTTTATTGCAGTGAATCCTATGAAGCTTTGAGATGTTCTCTCAACATCTTTCACATCAGGAGGACATCTCCAAGCACTTCACAGGAATCACTGCAGTGTAGTGACTATTTTCTAACCACTGTATTTTGTAGTTTTGTCACAATGCAAAGAATTTACTGGAAAAGGAAAAATTGCAGGGTTTTGTGGTAAGAGCGGGACTAATTGGATAGCTCTTTAAAGAGCCAGCACAAGCATGATGGACCGAATAGCCTCCTTCTGTGCTATAAGATTCTATTAAATAAAGTGGAACAAACAGAGACCAGATTGAGCAGAACTGATTTGGGGAGGAATATTTTTTNCCCCCAGAAGGTTTAGCTCAGATATTCCAGTTACATCAATCTGCCAAGTTACAATTAATACGGTCTCTGCTGTTCCCATCTGGAATCATCGATCAGCTTTCAGTTGCACTTAGGGGTAAAAATATGTATTGTCAATTGTTAATGATAAGCTGGAAACGATAATGCAGGTTACTTAACTCCAGTTTTTAAACAATTAGTGCTGGGTGACTAAGCAGAAAGGTTACATCACAGAATAATGTATTTTTTTGTAAAAACGATGCATGGAGACCTGTAAAATAGTGGTTAGTGCGCTCACATCGCAAGCGAGAGGACCCAGGTTCGATTCTTGGGCGGGGCGAAGGCAAGTTTCCTTACTCCACAGGCTTCTGTTTACCTAGCAGTAAGTAAGAATCTGGTTGTTCGTCGATTGGCGGATCGCTTTCCGAGGGTAATAATTCCTCCAAAAAACAAAGGCATTTCAGCACTCAATCCACGACTGTTTGGGGGAGGCTGCTCTTCGCAATTAGCTGTCATGTTTCGCCCACAACATACAGTCAATCTACTTTACAATGTATTTTGTGAAGCGTCTTTGAGACGTCTCAACAATGTGATAAGGTGCTCTATCAAATTCAAGGATATATATATATATAGCAATAAAAATATACACTTGCCTAGTTGTTCTGTAGCAATTCCACCCAACATTACATATGTATTAAAAAGAATAACATAGGCAAAGCTATATGTCTTTCAACTGCTATCAATTACAGCATCAGCATTACACATCACAGCTAAGTACAAGGCAAATCACTCTTAAAATAATCTGATCAGGGGCTTGGCCAAGCCTACAAGACGCTGGAGCAGAGTAAACAAACGGCTGTGTGCACGATATTTATAGAAATGTAGTCATTAAACCAAAAAATAATGCACAACTCTTAGGTGTGGCACAGACGGGAGAAGGAGCAGTGCAATTTGGGTTTCTGACCCTATTACGATTGGAGACATACATAAGTCAGCAAAATAGCCTTCACATCAAATGGGTCCCAGGAACCAGAGTGAGTGAGTGAGAGAACAGGGTGGTCTGGAAGTGACAGATCTGCCTTCCACATACTATCACACACACACACACACATAGAGAGAGGCTATTCATAGCAAACAGCAAGCCCGAGATCTCAATCCCACCACTCAACCCCGAAAAAGGAGCAAAGAGAGAGTGAGACACACACACACACGCAGAGGAGAGATGGCTAGACAGAGAGCAAACCACCCGTTAGCTTGACCCAGTTCACAGGGGATTTGCATTACCTTTGTATCGTTCCAACACATTCTCATAAGCCTGCAGATACTCCAGTTCATCGGCGTAGTAATAAGCAGCGGGTGTCAACCCTGGGGTGTAGCCTGCCATAGCACTGAGCAGACACACCGACCTCCAGCCCCTCTCTCTCTGCCTCTCTGTGTGTGTGTGGTGTGTGTGAGAGCGCCTCTCGCCTTAAACTTGGATCAGAGGCTGCCAGAGGCTGGGAACTTGGGAAAGCGAGTGCCTGTCTCCTGCAGGAACGCCTCTAAATCTCTCCCAGTACCAATGATCAGTCCCGTCTCTCTCCCTCCCTCCCCTCTGGCTATTTCGCTCTCTTACACTCTCTTCTCTCCTCCCTACTGCACTGACTCATTCACTCACGCCGGCTGCTGTCCGCAGTGTGTAGGTGTCTGTGTGTGTGTATAATATATGAAGGAGGCAGCAATTGTCAGTCACTCTGGAAATCCAATTGCTACAGCAGGAAGGGTTCAAGGGCCGAATGCAAATTGCTGATCCACACTTGCTGCTTGTTGACCATCTCAGGCACAGAATTCACCCCCAACCTCTCTTCCCCCCCAGCCCCGAAAAACAGGCTCAACTCTGACCCAATGTCTCTCTCCACAACACGGAAAGAGACACACACACACACACAGAGAGAAAGGCGAGATAAATCACAGCGAGTGTTGTTACATACTAAGCTCTCATACACTGAAAAATAGGGCGATGCTTTGCTTCTCTGTGCTGCCACAAACCACAGCTTTTGTGTGTTTTTTTTGATGTGAAAACAATTTGTTGCATTAGGGACAGAGAGAGAAGTAAAAATGGAATATTTACACCAGCTCTTAAAATTTGATTGTTGCATCAACACACATGCACAATGTGTGAAACCTGCAAATTAATTGATTAATTAATTAATGCACATTGATCAGATTTTTAGAATTCATATTCAAATATAGTTTTTAGAACTGATATTAAAATACACAGTCGTTCCACTTTACAGTGCATCCTGTGAAGCGCTTTGAGGCATCTCAATGACATGATAAGGCGCTACATCAAAATCGAGGATTATTATATCATCAGGTTTGAAATTTTATTTTTTATAAATCATCGCTCAAACATAGAGCATCAAATATTAAATGCATTGCAGATGTGAGGCGGATGAATTACATTTTTATATATATTAATAAAGTAGAAAATTCTATTTTTTTTCCCAATAAAACACTAAAGGGGGAGCGAGAAAGTATCATATAATTTCTTGTAACATGAATTCTAAACCTTACAATATTTCCTTTTACAAAATTCTAGCCAGTTGGCAGATTTTTGAGTACGGTCCAGTAGAGAACCTTCTCTCTCCCCCCCCTAAACCAACCAGGCACACGTATCTGTTTACCCAGCAGCAAGTAGGAACCCAGTTATTAGTCAATTGGTGGTTCACTCTCTGGGGGTAATAAGACCTAGCCAAAAAAATTTGATCACTCAAATCCATGACTGTTTATTGGACACTGCTGTGCGCAATTGGTTGCCGTGTTTTGCCCACAAAACACAGTCAATCCACTTTACAATATATTCTGTGAAGCGCTTTGAGACGTCTCAAGGACAGGATAGGGCACTATATCTAATGCAGGGATTATTATTAATCATCTCAGCTAGTTACTAGTTGCTGGGGGGTTTGGACACCTGACTATTCAGACAGACATGCAGATCGGCAACGAAACCTCAGGGAATTTGAATGTGTATGCGCGATTGTGTGTGTGACACAGAGAGAGCGTCAATTTCAGATCAATGAAAGAGCTGGTTCTAACATCGACACAGATGATGAAAGGACTAAAAAGCCCATTAACAAACAGGAAGAAATGTGTGTGTGTGTGAGAGGGCGAAAGAGTCAGAGGGTAAAATATAATCATATATCACCCATAGACATTATTACAGAGTGATGTGGATGGAGGAGGAAATGAGAGATGTCAATTTTTTTTAAGAAAAGATGATAAACAAGGAATGCAATAAAAATAAGCAAACAGTACTTCACAGCAGATTCACCCCCACCGCAGGGTCCAGATCAACTAATTTGTCGCTCTAATTCAGCAGAACAAATGATGTATTTGAGGCAAGAGAGAGAGAGAGAAAAAAAATCAAAGGCGCCTATGATGACAGCAATAAAAGCAGAGGAACAAAAATTCCCCTCCCTTCCTCTCCCCATTTTTTTCCTCTGACAATATATTCCTGTCTATTTGTTGATGCAACACACCCCATACAGGGCTGTTATGTTGTTTTCCTATTCTCTCTCTCTATACATATATATAAATATTATACATACACAGTAATACATGCATACACATGTATCCATACAGACGCACGGTATATCCATACAGACGCACGGTATATCCATACAGACGCACGGTATATCCATACAGACGCACGGTATATCCAATACAGACGCACGGTATATCCATACAGACGCACGGTATATCCATACAGACGCACGGTATATCCATACAGACGCACGGTATATCCATACAGACGCACGGTATATCCATACAGACGCACACACAGGATATATACAGTATATGAAGGTACACACACACAATAAAGACAATGCAGCTTTCTCTTACCAGCTATCCTCAGTACAGCTCTCTCTGCTGGGTCCAGCACTGACCCCCCCTGGATTTTGCGCTTGGATCTCTCGTGTTTAGGCAGGTTCCAGGGGAGAGTATCTCCCGGAGCCGGAGAGATGGAGCCAGATTTCTGGCTCAGCTCCTCGGAGTCTGAGAAATCCGCGGAAGACATGGAACAGCGATGGGAGCTGGTGCCAGCACTCTGGGGAGAGGGAGGGGGAGAGAGAGTGTGTGAGAGAGAGAGAGAGAGAGAGAAAGGGAGGAATAGTCAGAGGGAGAGAGAGAGAGGGGAGAGAGAGGGGAAGAGAAGATGGAGAGAGTGTGAGAGAAGAGAGAGGAGCAGACGGAGGGAGGGAAGGGGAGACGAAGGAGGCAGAGAGAGAGTGAAGGTGAGACAGAGGGGGAGAAAAGAGGGAGAGTGTGAGAGAAGAGGAGGGGGGGTCAGAGAAGAGGGGGGGGAGAAGAGGGAGAGTGATGGGGGTGGAGAAAAGAGAGAGAGCACTGAGTAAGGCTGCACAGATGAACAGGTAACAGCAACAAAGATAACCAGAGCAAATGTTATATTGCCATATTGCATTTACCCCCCAATTGAAATGATGTCTCAGCCGCTGTATAACGGGGCAAAGAGGCTGTATAATGGTTGATTCGGGGTTGTAAAGGCGATACAGTAAAGAGAAGGGGGGGAGAAGGGAGAGCATTCAAAGCACTTACCAGTGGAGCAATTGTAAAACACTCTCCTCTCTCTCCCTCTCTCTCTCTGTATCTCGAAGGGTTTAATAGCTCTCACTATTAACAACAATCTTGTTGTGTGTCTGTGGCCTGAGGTTTCATTTCATTAAAGGGTAAGACACCAGAGATGACTGATTCCTGGTAGCCAACAGATCCCCACAGACACACACACACAAATACACAGACACACACACACAAATGCACAGACCCACACACACAAATGCACAGACCCACACACACAAATGCACAGACCCACACACACAAATGCACAGACCCACACACACAAATGCACAGACCCACACACACAAATGCACAGACAAAAAAATGAAACACTGCTGCTCACACAGTCGATGCATTTGTCTCCCCCAACAGGACACAGAAAGCTTACCATCTCTCACCGAAGGAGGAGGAAGAAGAAGGGGGAAAGAGAAAAAAAAAACTGGTGCAAAAAGCCTTATTTGTTCCTTTCCCAACACACCACCACACACACACACACACACAACACCCCCTCCAAAAAAAATAAAATAAGGTGAGCAATTGTGGTTAGATGCTGGTCCTGGTTTTGATGCAGGGGCTGCAAAGCTCTGGAATCCACAGGGAAGAAGGGAAGGGAAAAAAGGAGAGAGAGAGAGAGAGAGAGAGATGCACAGCCACACCCGACGTTTTGCGATGTGACCATTCAATACAGATCCACAACGACTGATGGAGCAGGTGCTGGTTTGCAAATTGCTCCCCTACCTCTTCCAGGGTGTCTGTGCTGTCTGGTTAGGTAGAGAGAGAGAGAGAGAGGGGTGGGGGTTGGGGGTGGGGGGTGGTGTTTAAGTCATCAACCTCTTAAACCAACCCCTACCCTGTTCTCAGGAGCATCACCTCTTCCCCAAACGAAGCTCTTTTTAGTTTAAATATATATATTATATTATATTATGTATATATTTTGAATAAAAATACAAGATCAAATCTTCCTGGAAGCAGCTGGAATCAAAGGGATGCATTGTGTGTGCATCTGCTGTTATAAAGAGACACCACACACACACACACATCCTCTCTCTCTCTTTCTTTCTCCAAACACTTATATCTAAATGATACTCATTTCTTGGGAGGGGGAAATGTTTTAGGATGTTACAAGAAATGGGAGCATTTTTGGTCCAAAGGATGGGAGTGGCAAAGGGTCAAGTCTCAGGGAATAAAAAATATGGAGGAGGAGGAAAAAAAAAGATGCCCTTTTCAAAGCTGGTTATTTAATGGTCCACCAGTCACATATTAACCGACTCGTGGCTTTATTTATACACCAGTGCGTCCAAAATCACCAGTGATGCTCCACTGACTGTCTGAACGCTTCACTAGTCAAGTCACAAAAAAAAGGGAAAAGATATATATATATATATATATAAAGAGGGAGATAAAGTCCCAACATGGCAGAGATAAATGGTTTCCTTGTGCATGTGCATGTGACATCTCTAAAGTCAAATGTCCTTATTGAACATTTTGGCAGGATTGGCACAGAAGAGAAGTCCTGTGAACTTCAATGTTGCGTTCATTATATTGATATCATGTCAATGCCAATGCTGTCCTGCATTGTTGAGAATGAATGATATCTGATGTGTAGCAATCTCTAATAATATTAATCCTTGCATTTGATACAGTGCCTTTGAGACGTCCCAAAGCCCTTCACAGAATATACTGTAAAGTGAATTGACTGTATATTTTGTGGGCAAAATGCAGCAGCCAATTGACCACAGCAGTGTCCCACAAACAGTGACGAAATTATTATTTAAAAAAAAATTTGAAGGAATTATTACCCCCGGAAAAGCGATCTGCCAATCGACAAACAACTGGGCTCCGACTTAGTGCAAGGTAACCAGAGGTGTGTGGAGTAACAATTAGTGTTAAATATATCTCATGGTTACAATTAACTAACAGGTGCCTATGGACTATAC